AAATAAATATCTCAACAAAACCAATGCTAAAAAAAATCATCTCATAAGTCAACAAAAGCTGAAAAAAATATCACATCATGAACAGTAAACCAAATGGATCAAATATTTGGATATTAGAGAGAGAACAAGAAGAAAATAAATATCAGGATTTATATGATTTAAAAGTATCACAACAAAACCAACCACTAAAAAAATCACCTCATAAGTCAACAAAAACTGAAAAAAAAATATCACATCATGAACAGTAAACCAAAAGGATAATGGATGACAATTGATAGGATGAACACGCCAATTAATGAAGTCGGTGGAGAGTTGCTATAGAAGATATAGGCTCAACAGATATTTAAGTAGGATGAACAGTAGAAAACCGGTTCCAATCTGGATTAGTGTGAAATGGACGACACGAGATGAACAGTGACAATTGGGATCCGCTCTTTTATAGGAAGTAGGATATTGATGGTTTAGGGTTTTCTTTGTATGACATGAAAATGGGTTATATGTAGTGCAACTTGGTATTCCATTAAGTTTAGATTGTAATCAAGTCCCCCATTTTCTATTTTACATAACATTTAGTAATTAATTTTCCATAATTGAAAACTAAACCCCAAAATTTTATTTTATTCGTTTTAACCCCTTATTCAATACTCATTTCCTTCTTTGTGAATGATTGATTTTGATTTATTTAAAATGACATATTGGGTTAATAAAAAAAATTGAAATTTGAAAGACGTACTCACGTACCTGTGTCCAAAATTTGAACTCTTTTTAGCCATATCCCCGTATTCTATATTTTAGAAAATAAGGGATCTGACACTTGAATATATACCCATACCCGAGTCCGAGCATCATAGACAAAGTTCAAAACCCGTTTGGCTTTCTAACTAAAAATTTAGTCCTGTAAAATACCCTTAACCTGGTCACTCAGAATGTCATACAACACTCCTAAAATTCTGTATCGAATAATTTCCTACCTTGTGTCCTCCTTCCATTTCCCCTGCCACTGCTATCTTCCACCTAAGTACCACTTTCTAGTACACATACACTCCTACAATACAGTGAAATCACAGAAAGAAGTTTGATCTGAAGGGGCAACTTAAAAATAACTAGGGAACCCTGATGTTCGCTTTAGATCTGGAAAAGCAAGAAAGTTTTTATTGTTCTTAAAGAAATTGATAATTTTCCTCTTATTCAATAATGGAGAAATCATACAAAATAAATAGTAGTGAGATCATAATCTCAACCTCTAATTATGGGATATGATAAAATCTTTCTAAACTAATTCCTTTTAAGTAAGGAACATAACTAATTTAAGAAAACTAGGAATTTGGGTAACAGCCTACCCAAATCCTTTATTGAAGAAAATAATAATTAGCTAAATCCCTAGAATCGTGTGCCTTAATTACATAGATATTTCCGAATTTCTACGGTTCTTTATAGTTCTCCAAAGGTTGACCATATAACAGAGAAAAGAGCAGAAGAAGTCGAAAACTAAAGTGTATCCGAGTAAAGTATAAGCATATATTTATGTATATCACTCCTAACCCACACAAGACGCATACTATAAGTGAAGCTCGTAGCAAGGATCTCATAAGAAACCTTTACAGTCCCCAAAACAGTGCCCGCATCAGATCTGTGGGTTCTCAGGCTACTGCTTTCCACTTCCATGAATGTCTTCGCTGGAAGTTCTCTATCCTGTTTACCAATTTTCAAATTTCAAGAAAATAAAATAGACATCATCCAGAAAAAGCAGTGCTACAAGATATGACCATAGTATAAGATGGAAAAATAATAACTATATTTTAGTCCCTGAAACAACCACTCAAAAATAAACCTTTTCATAATTTAAATATTTCCCAGGCAAACAATAACAAAATATTGCCCGTAGATATGCTACCAATTTGTAGTGTTCATGGCAAACCAAATTTCTTATCGCCAAAAAGTAGCATCAGGACATTCATTAACATCACCAAAGATATCATGCTCATGTTTGGTTTAGATTAAAAAAACAAATTTTTAGTAGAATTTGATAAAAGTTGATGGAATGTGTGGTTGAAAAGTATTGGATCCCATAAAATATATGGTTAAAATTAAGTGTTAAACTTTGAATTGAAATGTAATCCACTTTTTTTAGTGGAACCAAACGGCCTATATTCTTTCAGCAGGTACCTAATCAAAAGTTAGACCCCATAGAAGCCTTAACGGAACCCAAGTCATGATACTTTTGCTTCAGAGTCAACTAATTCTTCAAAAGATAACTGTTAAATCAAAAACCAAAATAAGTTAACCCCAGTTGTTCAGACCTCGGAATTATCCTTCCGAATCTCATCCACTCCTCCAGCAGCATAACTCGTCGAGACAGATAGGACCTTGTGAATAGATTTGCTCTTGTCCACCTTTAACTCTCTCACTCTTTGTACTCCTCGTGAAGAGCCTCCAGCTGCCCTAGAAGTCTTCTTAAGAATCTCCTGCAGAGTACCTATAATGACAACAGATAATAAAAGATACAGAAAAAGAAACAGCAGCAGCATAAAGTGTCTAGAAGTAGACTTTAGCAAGAACCAAAAACAATGGGCTCAGAGATGAAGCCTTTACAGCATTTAAGCTACACTGAATACCTTGGAGTTTTACAGCCTCCACATGATCAAAAAGAAGCTCCGGAACAGTAAAGGTCGAACGAATAGAAACTATGGCACATGCATCTAAGCAATTGTAATAGATATTTCTCACTTCACATAGTACAACAGTCAAGACACATGTTCTTCCTTCATCCAACAGGTCACCCTAATATCCCACAAACACTATTCCTGCTTCTTCACTACCAAGAAATTCTACTTTTCATCCTCTTTGAGCCTAAAACGTTACCCACACTGAAGCTTCATAACCCAATACCTTCCCATATTTTCAGCAATAGACCTTGACATGAACAGCCCTAAATGGCCTTCCCATTGCTGTCTATAATTGAGGGGCTTAGAGGCCTCTGCCTTACATATATACATAAACTGTATGCCATAAGGCTTATAAGATACTGACCTTATGCTTAACCAACATAAGTTTGAGAACACTTCTGTTTCCTAAGTTTTACCTGAAACAAAATAATGAAATATGTACAGCGTACTTTATGATGTTCTTCTATGAAAATGTTTCAAAGTTAGGCACAGAAGTGTGATTGTGCACAAAAAGTCTACACAGACCTTGAGCCAAGAAAACAGATGTACTATTCTTGTAGATTAGCTTTCCTCAACTCCAATTTCAAAAGAAAGTTTCCAAGAATCGGCCAAATGAATTTTTAACTTTATGATTGATTCCTATAGTTCTGAAAAATAATTATACAAAATGCACTAAGGAGGCCATAGATATATTTCTTTTTTCCTCTTATGTACTCAGAACAGGGAAAGAACTTTCTTATGTATACGTAACGGTTATGTATACTTAACGATCTTAATACAAAACCAATCGAGCAATGAATTTTATGACCTCATTCTCCATCTGCTAGGTTACATATTAATAGAAGCCAAGATTTTCAACTCCTAAATGTATGGATTTCTCCAGCTCAAAAAAGAATTCAATATCCTAATTCCTCGTTTAATCTTCTCAACACAGTTTTAAGCTATCCATAACACAGCCAATATATTAGCAAGGCATGTTTCCCCGTAGTGTTGCAAATAACATATAGATCGTGCTTGATGCCAAAAGGTAGACTAATATGCAGTTCTTCATGTTAATAATTAGCAACATAAAATTACATTCCACACATTTTAAAATAAGCCATGCTCCATAACCATAGAATCCCTGCAGATGCCCAAAGGTGCCTTGGGACCATCATATTAAGCGGTAAAAACAATTCTGACTTTTGACCCAGCCATGAGGGGCATGCTCAAACTTACTACTATGAACTAATAAATATATCAAAACTATGAAACAATAGCATTCAGACCCGGCTAAGATAGGATCTATACCTTCTCCAACAAAAATTTGACTTCCGCATGCTGCTTCTTGATCTCTTGATTGTGTGGCTCCAATCTCAAAGTGAATGCAGCATCTGCATTTGGCTATAATTATTTGAAAAATGATGGTTGTACACCATGCCACAGCGGGGGCCCACCATGAATAAAAAATGTGGACCCCCTCTATGTGAGGGGAGTGTACAAGCATGGTGTACATGTAGCAGAGTTCTAATTATTTCAGCCAGAGCGTATGAGAAAATTGATTGAAAATATGTTTCAGTTTTAACATATCAATTTGGCTCTACCGTCAAATGGATTCTTTCAGTTTTGCAAGTTCTTATATGCCTTTATGTAAATTAAGGCCTCCGTACAGTCATTCTCAGCCTCCTGGAATCTAATAAATAAATAAGAAAAATAGTCTTGTTCATTGCAAAATTCATAAATCATATGTAGAATAAATAGAAAATACATCCTGATTTTGACATAAGCCACTGCCCTGTTTGCATAAGCTACTGCAGTTGGTGAGAAAGCAATAATTCCTAGAGTGGCAGTCTATTCGAGTAACTACCTTTTCTCAAATGGCTCCACTATAACAAATGGACGTTTTCAATAGTGAGCGAACCAGACGAATTCGTTAAATGTCCCATTGGGCTCTAGAATTGATCAATTCTGTACCGTGTTAGTTTGAGGCCAACTAGTCTGATCCCATTCAAGCAAACAAATTATTCAACATATGAATTTCTCTGAACAGTAAAGATCCACAAATCATTCTGAGACTATATAATTTACATATGCTTAGGTGGAAATATCCAAACCAAAAACACCTTAAGATAGGTCAATTCATGGTTTAAACGACTCTATTTCCACTATGCTTTGTCTAAATATGAAATCTTGGTCTTGAGTCCCTGCTACATTATAAAAGCATAGTTACATAGTACAAACAAGGCCGACGCAAACTTGCTGCAGGTGCTACTATTAGCATCAAGAGCAAGTCAACCAAATCAACAAGCAGACAGAGGTCGTGTCTTCTCGTGTATTGCCTTGTAGCACTGAAGGCTGCAAAGAGGGAGGTTCGACTCAGAATCTCGATACTTGTATGCATTTGAACACGAAGGGCCGGCACATTTCTCACGTGGGGGAGGATAACTGGTAGTCCACATCAAAAACCAAATCAGCAAGCAAAACATAAGATTGGCCACACAAAATATGAACTTTCACCTCTCGCACAGAGAGGCTGCACTACTCAATCCAGCATGGAACATTGTCTGGCTAAACTTGAAAATAAGAGAACATTACTTGCTCGCTCAGCATACTTAAAAACTAGTAAACATCGGTTCCAAGAAATCATATCTTCTACTTAGACTTTACCGAGAAGCCTAAGCCCTTGTGAAAGAAGCTGTTTGAGGAACAAATGGACCGATTCCTACTTCAAGAACAAGTCTAACATAAAGAAATTGCGCACATTTATCATGATATAAAAAGTAATCATGTGTCTTGAAGTCTTTCAACCTATTGAAACCAAATTAAGTGGAAATAAATTGCATCCAATAAGATTTGAGCCTATATCAAAAAGATTTAGAAAACAACAGTATTGTCCAGTCTAAAAGTGACTTTTTATTTCCAAACACATTTGGATCAGTTGTTTTTTCTGCAATAAGAGAATGCTTGGCTAAGCTTAAAAAGTAAAGTTGCTTTAAAGTAACTTTTGTTTCTAACTTTCACCAATAAAACAAATGAAGTATTTTAAATTACTTGTTTACTTATAAGTAGACTTTTTAAGCTTAGCCAAACATGCTCACAATAAAAAAAAATTATTTATTTTGAAGTAATTCTTATCTTCTTGTCAATATAACTTATTTTCGATTTCATCAAAAATTTATTTACTTATAAATGAACTTTTTAAGCTGAGTGAAACATGCTCTAGATCATAATTAGTGTGCTGGATCATGCCACTGTATAATACATATGAATTATTCACACTATATTGCTCAAAATAAAGTACTTTATTACCTGAAATGCTTGGGTTTGAATATACTTGGGAGGCCAATATCGTCGGGAAATGTCACAGTTGTCCCTGAAGGACCCATGACCCATCTAACAACATTTGATGCAACTGCGGCATTGGCAGCCTTCTCCTGCATTATTTTACATGACTAGGATAAACAAAAGGAAAATCTATTGTGCCATATGAAATATAGTATCTATGTACATCTTGTCACCTGTGCTAACTCCTCTTTCTGTTTCTTAATTTTCTCTTCTCGTCGTTTTCTACTGGAATCTTGACCCAGGATTTTCCTAATTGCTTCGGCCTGTCAATTCCAGGAATGTTTATCAGTAAATCATATCATAATACAATCCATCCTCCAGAGGATGTAAACATAGATTCTTTAAAGTAAAAATTGTCACAGTATACATATAAAAGTAAACCAACAAGTATATGGAGGAAATGGAAAGTACACCTCAGACTCACGAGCAGCCTTCTCATTTTGTATCCTACGCCTTTGAGCAGCCTCAGATCTTTTAAGTTGATGTTCAATTTCAGAGAGTTTCTCCTTTTGCTCTGTGGACCAAACCAACCACATACCATAAGCAAGAAGTGGACTCAGATATCTAAGGACGCAATGTCACTTAATGAGTTCAACAGGAAGGAATGCTCACTTCTTGGAGGGGCGGGAGGTAACCCGTCGGGAAACTCAATAATATTTGCACCCGAACTCATGGAGATGTCTCTACCCTTTTTAATGGCCTGTAGGCGTGTAGTTATTGCCCTTCCCCCCTTAGAGGATACCGAGACATCAAATGACTCCTTTAATTGTTTTTTCTTCTTGGGTTCTAGCTCACAATCAGATACCGACTCTTCCTCTTCTGCATAGTCGGTGTCTTCAGATACTCTATCTGGTCTGGGTTTCTTAATCTCTTTACTTGAACTCGAAAAATTATAGTCTCTAAAACCTACATCATACCCATCAACGTCTCTATCAATTACCCCAGAAATCTTCCTAAGTTTCTGTGCCCTTGGTTCGACTCCATACTCTGTATTATGAGAAGCTGACATTCTAGATGTTTTGAGCTTTTGAAGATACCGAATTTCATCATCGTCTTCTTCTTCTTCTTCTTCTTCAGATGCTTCATCAAATGAACTTTTTCTAGAGACATACTTGTTTTCTCGATTTCGCCCATATTTATCAGCTTCCATGATCGCTCCTTGGGAAGAACTCACTTTCCCAAAACTAAAACCACTTCTAGAGAAATCTTTCCATGGCACACCCAACAAGCCACCTTTCTCATCTCTAACAAGCGAACCATCCTTTAATAAATTGTCCTGTACAAATGCAGAAAGATAGATCAGTACAAACCCAACATTTTAGGCATAAATGTACCACCTAGAAGGAAAGTTGCTCTAGCATTTTCCAATAGATGCCAGGATAGAAACTTCATATCGTAATGCAGTACAGGATCCCAAATCCATGTGGAGCAGAAAAACTCAGCTTTACAGACAAAAAAAAGAGAAAAATAGTACTCACAGATGTGAATATTCTAACTAAAACACTAACGAAAGCAATCAAATCAGATAGCATCATTTGTCTCGAGAACGTATTCGAGGTTTTTCATTCTCATTCAGTGAATGTAGCAAGAATAAAAGCCCAGTCGGAGCTAGAAACTGCACTGGTATTCATTTTTAATAGCGAGAAGCATAAGAGCCATATGATAACGATAGTTTCACTGACAGAAAGAACGAATACCTGAAGACTCAGTTTATGACAAGGATATACGGCATCTGAGTTTGAAGACTTAGCTGAAGAAGTTCCAGCCACAGAGGATCCATCAGAGCTAGATTTTGAATGTATTGTACGTGTAACACCCCCAACCTTGAGTCTTACTTTATTGACTTTGTTTTCATTTCCAGTTCCATCTGATGATAGCCCAGAATTGTTACCACTTATAATTTCACTTATTTTCTCGTCTTTCATTTTCACGCTCTTCCAGTAGTTATCATCTTCA